TGCGCCCGGGTGACCTGGGGCCGCGGCTCTGGGCGGCACGGGGAGGAGCGGCTCCGGCCGGGGTGAACTGGGTTTGTTACTTGCTCCCTTCCCCCTCCGCAGGCGCTAGTTAAGCAGGGCAATGATTTCTCATGTGCTCTGCTGATGTGATTTAGTGCGACTTGTCTTGTCAAGCCTGCGCGAGTATTTAGCGTGCGAGGCGGTTTGCGCTGGTTAACTGCGCGTTAAAAAGACATTTTCTTAGAATCCCCGGGTTTGGGTGGTTAGGGAGCCGCACTCTAACATATACAGCCAAAGGTGCAAATGACTTTTGAGTACCTCACCTGAGGTGTGCCAGCACCACAGCTTTTTCCTGCCTGTCTGCTCAGACAGGGACAAAGTTTCGAGTAGTTAACAAAAATGCACTAGTGCTGATGGACTTAGATTTTTCAGAGAACTGAATATTCTAATATAATTTGCCATGTTTTCTCCTCTTACCCAAACCTGAAATTCATGTCTTTCATCATTCTTGATCTGAGTTTAATTAAAGGGTTCATCTCTATGAACAATATTCGTATTGGCGTGATCACTTTGTTTAAGTTGTACTACGTTGAGCTATTAACATGTATGCTCAGCCTTAGTGTGAAAGAGGTCTTATTATGGGTATGGTTGAACTACTTAAATATGGTCAGCCTTGCATGCATCACTCACTACTGGCAGTATCAAGGCTATGTTGCAGGAAAAAAACCTAACAGACCATCTCTGCGACATGGTGCTTTGTGAACCCTTCCTGTTTAAAGGTCAAAATGCTCTAAAACTCACCTTGAGACTGCCTTCCAGTGCAAGGATGCAAAGCAGATTGACAAACTGTTTGCACTGGTAAGTGCACAGCATTGCATTCCCATTATAGCAGCAGTATGGAACAGACAGAAATGGTGGAGTTTGGTGCAAGCCTGCTGCTCTGCTTGCAGACTGGTTATACTGGATAGGCCCAGGCAGAGCTGTGGCAGCTGTGGAGCAGTGTGCAGGTGCTGGGTGGCAGAAATGAACCTTGGAAGCAACCACTGAACCTGACTTATGTCTGTCCGAGTCAATTTGCATGTGCTGATTTATGTCCATCTGAGTCAACTCACTTGTGGTTTCTGTCAGAAGCATAGGGAAGTAAATGTAGGCCAGTGGCTGTTTGCTGTCAGTGGGGTGGTAGTGATTTTTTTGAGGGATCCCAGATAATGTTGTTATGCAGCTGAAAGTAACTATGAAATCAGACAGTCTGCACCAAATAGTCAGATGATACCCATATTTCCTGTCGACCTTTCAGCATGCAAAACTGTGGATGGTTTACATGTGAGATAAACAGAACTTTTCTCCCTGCTGCTTTGTGCACCTGTGTCCAGCTGTCTGTGTCCAGCTGCATGACATGAGCTGCAGAATGTTGTGGGAGATACGTGTGGGGAAGAGAGAGGGGACATGGCATTTTAATTGCCTTATTCACAATTAAATATTAAGTCTGTGGTTTTCAGATTATCTGTCTACTATTAGTGGTCAACAAGACCATGGTGAATTATTTGCAGCCCAATATGTGGAGTCTTTAATCATAAGCACCAATATTCATACACATACATGCCACTTACAGAAAATGTTGGGGCTTGGTAGTGCTCTGCAGCCTACAAAACATGGAAATTACTGTTCCTCATAAAGAATTAGGAAAAAAAAAGGAAAAAATTGAGGTACAGGAAAAGAAATACGGTTTTTAAATACTTTTCAGGATGGATACTAAGCATGAAAGGTGCAGTCATCAGTTATTCTCAGTGGCTGTGCTTCTGTGTGAGACCTAGAAAGCAGGAATCAAAGGTACCATCCTGCACCTCATCACCTCTGGGGATCTGTCAAGTCCTAATTTCAAATGCTTGTGTTCTCAGATCTTCTCTAATTTTTTTCAGTGCTTTCCTCTGGATTCTGGAAAGTAATTTAACAGTATCACCATGTACCTTGGCTGTATCTTGGAGATGTAACAAAGGATAGGGGCCCAAGCTCTTACCATAGCTACAGTAGCCACCAAAGTTCATCAGGGGGTGGACTCTCTGTGGGATCTGCTTTTATCTGTCCCAAGGCTCCTCTTATATTACATGGGTAAAATAAAGATTTTTTTTATTTTTTATTTTTTTAGATTCATCTAAGAATCTATAACGAGGAGCTGTAAGGCCTCCAGAATAAACCAACAAAAAGTTGCATGCTTTGCCACTGGGTTTGAGTGGAAAAACAGTGAGACTAGGGATGCCTGGGTTGGCTTTCTTCCCAAGAGCCTTTCTTTGGCTTCCAGTGCCTTCTTGTTTTTCAGCTTTCCTTTACAGGCTGGTCTTCTCTCTTTGCCCCAGCTCACTTTCCAGTTCCTCTGCAGCTTTCCACTTGGATTGTCTACATCTTATGCCAGTTTATTGTTTTTTCCCATATTCCAGGGGCTCATCCTCTCTACATTTGAGTTGGGAAGCTTATGTCCCTCAGTTTGTGCTGACTCTTGCTATCAGGGCAGGTTTTATGCAGAGCATTCTGTTAATACCATGTTTCTGGAGCAGGGATTTCATACTTACCTAAAAGGGCATGTGTGACAAGAATATGGGGGTTTGGTTTTTGGGTTTTGGTCCTTTTCTGCATATGGCTTCCCAATCTGCAGTGTGAACATGCTCATGTGAACTTTCATATTCCCCTGCCTTTTTAAAACATTGAGTGTGCCTGTGTGCAAAGGCTGTGCTCAGACCTCGTCATCTGACCCCTCTGAGCGTGTGCCATCTCCCTGGACAATGCCTGTGGTTTTCCTGTGGGCTCTAGCACTGAGAAAAGCTCTACCTGGTATTGCAAAGAGGAACTGGGCACCCCACTGAACATCCAGGAACTGCTGCTGGTGCCTCACAGAAGCAGGAGAGAGAACAGCTCTGTCCCACTGCTGTCACCTTTATTATTTTCCGTTTATTGTCAGGTCTTGCATTGGTTCATTCTTTACCTTGTTCTGTTGTATTGAGTAGATTTGTAGGAGTAGGTCCCAAAATAAGCCATTATGCTAAATTTGAGTTGGGTAGAATAGTGTGTGTGTAATTTCTGTGCTGTTTTGAGGCTCAGAGTTAATACTGTGCATTTTGTAGTTAATTTCTGAGACTCTGTTCTAAATGCACTGATTTTTATATCTGGGAGAAGGTAATAACCAAATAATGATTGCAATAACCTCTTACTGGTTGCAGCTGAAAACTTTTAATGTGTACTTTTAATAAGTATAAGGATTTTTAGAGTGACAAGAATGAAGATCCTACTATGTAATTTAAAATGCTTTTCAACTTAGCAACAGTAGAGATTCCTTGAGAAAATGGCAGGATGATGTTAAATTACAGGAATGGTTTTGTGAATCCTGACTTCTGTATGAGATTTGTTCTGGACTCTCTGCACTTGTGGTCAGTAGCCCACTATTATTTGTCGATTTAGCCATTGATGCAGAGGGGTTGACATTTAGTAAGTCACCTGCAGGTACTTTGAAGATTAATTTTGTTCTTTTGATGTTAATATAGTTGAAGTTTATGATTCTAAAACATACCCATAATATATATAAAATAATTAATATTTTCCTCAAATATGTTATTTTAGTTAGGTTTTGTACTGTAACCTTTTGTTTGTTATGGTGTTAATTTTTGTTGTAGTGGGTATGTTTCCTGTTTGAATTATTCCTTTGAGGAAAAAATGGAGTGCTGTCACTAGAAGAATAACACTTGGCTTTTAGAAAATTTATTGACTTTTATTCTTTATTGCTGGGTAGCTTTGTGATTTTATTTTGTTTTAGCTAAAAAATAATTTAGAATTTTCATTTAAGTCTATCTTTTGTTAGCACAGAGCTGGGTTTCCTTGCTGCATGTAGGTTCTCATCTGTGTGCTAGTGGCTCTGACATTTTCTAGTTTGTCATGTTTTCTTGTGGAAATGTAACATGACATAGTGCATGTAATGACTGCATAGTTGTGCTTTATCTTGGTCACACAACGAAGGAAAATATGAATTGGCAGACAGAAATACTTTGATGATTACCCAGTGCTAAAGCTTTTCTATTTCCAGCAGATCATGCAGCAAAAGAGCCAGTGGAGGATACGGATCCAAGCACTC